CGTATGATCATCTTTTTTTTTTTTTTTTTTTTTTTTTTTGACGGAAGTTCTCGCTCTGGTCGCCCAGACTGGAGATGCAGTGGCGCAATCTCGGCTCACTGCAAGCTCCGCCTCCGGTTCACGCCATTCTCCTGCCTCAGCCTCCCGAGTAGCTGGGACTACAGGCCGCCGCAACTCGCGCCGGCTAATTTTTTTTTTTTTTTTTTTTTTTTTGAGGCAGGAGTCTCGCTCTCGCGCCCAGGTTGGAGTGCCGTGGCCGGATCTCAGCTCACTGCAAAGCTCCGCCTCCTGGGTTCACGCCATTCTCTGCCTCAGCCTCCCGGAGGGCTGGGACTACAGGCGCCGCCACCTCGCCCGGCTAGTTTTTTGTATTTTTAGTGAGACGGGGTTTCACCGTGTTAGCCGGGATGGTCCGATCTCCTGACCTCGTGATCCGCCCGTCTCGGCCTCCCAAAAAGTGCTGGGATTACAGGCTTTAAAATTTTTTTCTATTTTTTCAGTGAGACGGGGTTTTCCCATGGTCCTCGATCTCTTGACCTTGTGATCCGCCGCTGCCTCCGGCCTCCCAAGTGCTGGGATTACAGGCCGTGAGCACCGCGCCCCGGCCTTCATGATCATCTTTTATAAACAGTCCATTTACCCTTGGTCTGGTGCAGTTATGGTGTATCCTCCTGCCACTTTGAAAGTGTATCGTGCTGGGACATCGTTATTCGGCTTTAAAGCTAAGTTAGGTAAATGACTCCCCCATGGAACTGCTTTTCTTTTTTTTTTTTTTTTTTTTTTTTTTTTTTGAGACTGTAGGTCTCGGCTCTGTCGCCCAGGCTGGAGTGCTGGTTGGCCGGATTCTCAGCTCACTGCAAGCTCCGCTCCTCCGTGTTCACGCCATTCTCTCCTGCCTCAGTCCTCCCGAGTAGCTGGGACCAGCAGGCCGGCCCGGCCAACTTAGCGCCGGGCTGAGCTTTGTTTGTATTTTTTTTAGTAGAGAACGGGGTTTCACCGGTGTTAGCCAGGATGGTCTCGGAGCGTCTCCTTGACCTCGTGAATCCGACCGTCATCGGCCCTCCCAATAGTGCTGGGATTCAGGCCTTGAGCCACCGGCGCCCGGACCTCCCGGACTGCTATTTCTTCCTGTGGTCTTAAGAGGGTTAAAATGAGTGTTTTCTTTGGGAGCAGCCCAGTTACTAAAAGCGGGTCCAGGATTTTTGAAGTCTACCATCTATCCCTGGTATATCATTGATGGCCTTCAAGCTAAAAGGGGTCAAGATTTTGAAGTTACCATCTATCCCTGGTTACATTGATGGCCTTCAGATAACTAATGCTAGCTGATTAGTAAAGCTGTACCTGGGGACTACACCTGGTTCCTGATGGCATTATCTCAGGTTTGTTGGTCTTTTCTTTTCCTAAGCTGGACGATTCTACTGTTGCCAGGGAATTGGCCATCACAGACTCTGAGCACTCAGATGCTGAAGTCTCCTGTACAGACAATGGCACATTCAATCTTTCAAGGGGCCAAACACCTCTAACGGAAGGTTCTGAAGGTGAGGGGAGCCTTTGACCTCAGTTGATAATGGCTCTGACTGTTGCCTCTTAGCTTCCCTGAACAGAGGGGATACTGGTGCCTGCTCCTCTCCTGTTTTCTGAGCTATGGATCAGGTGGCAGAGCAGCCTGAGGGCTGTGGCTACAGCCAGGATGGCACTGCTGCCCTTCTCGAAGCCTTTAGTCCCTTAGTAGCCTCAGGCACTAGCCTCACAGGGGGCGTAGAAGAAGAGAGGGGAAATTGTGTGGCCCGTAGAGATCACAGCCATCTATAAGTGGAGGGGAAAGTTACACCAGTCCCATGGGTTTATTTCACCCTGAGAAAGCCAGGGTGGGAAAAATCTGGTCATGTGGGGATGCGGCACAGGAGGGCCAGGTAGGTTCCATGACTCAAGACACTTCTGTATTCTACCAGACCTAGATGGTCACAGTGATCCAGAGGAATCCTTTGCGAGAGACCTTCCAGACTTCCCTTCCATTAATGTGGATCCTGCTGGCCTGGATGATGAGGACGACACTAGCATTGGCATGCCCAGCTTGATGTACCGTTCCCCGCCAGGGGCTGAGGAGCCCCAGGCCCCACCTGCCAGCCGGGACGAGGCTGCGCTGCCAGAGCTCCTGCTTGGTGCTCTGCCTGTAGGATCCAACCTCACCAGCAACCTTGCCAGCCTGGTCTCCCAGAGTATGATTCAGCTGGCCTTGTCAGGGGCCTCCCAACCAGGCCCTTCTGGCGCACCTGCCCAGAGAGCAACAAGAGGCTTCCTCCGGTCCCCCAGTTCAGACCTGGACACTGATGCTGAGGGGGATGACTTTGAACTTCTGGACCAGTCAGAGCTGAATCAGCTGGACCCTGCCAGTTCTAGGAGCCACTGAGGCAGAGACTCCTTTTGGGAGTCACTGTGGTTTAGGTTTTTTTTCTCCCCATCCCACTTAAGGTGATGGGGCAAGAGAAGAACTCAGCTCCCCTCCCCTGAATTATATTTGTATGCTGCGTGGCCTGGCTGATGTTCAGAGGCCTGCTTAGAGAGGACACTTACTCCCCTCCCACCAGCTGGATACCCATTTCTGAGCTCAGCCACTGAAGTGAGAGTGTGCTCCCCCAAGGGAGGCTTCTCTCCATCAGGATGGTACTTTGGGGTGAACAAAGTAGTCAGGGATATTGGTGCCCCTTTGAGGAGGTGCTGTTGTTTGCTTTTAGGTATGAGTGCTCAGGGGCCCTCATGGAAAGAGCCCATGCCTGCCTTCCTCCCTTCATCGCCTCCCTAGAGCCCCGAAAGTCAGACAGCAGCTGGAGTAGTTACATTGTCATCATCTTTTTTTGGAGACAGTTTTGCTCTGTTGCCCAGGCTGCAGTGCAGTGGTGTGATCTTGGCTTACTGCGACCTCTGGCTCCCAGGTTCAAGAGGTTCTCTTGCCTCAGCCTCCTAAGTAGTGGGATTACAGGTGCCCACCGCTAAGCCCGGCTAATTTTTTTTGATAGTAGAAATAGGGTTTCACCATGTTGGCCAGGCTGGTCTCCAACTCCTGACCTCAAGTGATCCACCTGCCTTGGCCTCCCAGAGTGCTGGGATTAGTCATCTTCTCTTGTTAAACCAGGATTTGATTTCTTTCTTCTTTTTTTTTTGAGACAGAGTCTGGCTCTGTCGCCCAGGCTGGAGTGCAGTGGCATGATCTCGGCTCACTGTAACCTCCGCCTCCCGGGTCAAGCGATTCTCCTGCCTCAGCCTCCTCAGTAGCTGAGATTACAGGCATGCACCACCCATGCCCGGCTAATTTTTGTTTGTTTTAGATAGAGACAGGGTTTCACCATGTTGGCCAGGCTGTCTAGAACTCCTGACCGCAAATGATCAGCCCACCTTAGCCACCCAAAGTGTTGGGATTATAGGTGTGAGCCACTGTGTCCAGCATGATTTTTTTTTTTTTTTTAAAGTAAAACTTGTCCCTTGGTTTTTGCAGAACAGCCTGCTCCCTCTCTAGCCCATCCTCATTTCTTGGCCTGAACCCCAGTCGCTCCAAAAGCATTGCTTGTGAAATTTTAAGAAATGTGAATATGATGTGGGGATGGCCTCTTCTACATTACCTTGGCCCAGGGGATCAGCTGGCTGGGGAGGATTAGTGAGCACCTCTGTATTTTGAGGTCTCACTGAGTCTTCTGGATGCTGTGTGGTTAATCTTTGGTTTCTGATAACCCCTGGGTCCTTTGGCCATCAGCCTCAGCAGTGAGCAAAGCAATACCTGTACTCATTTCTATGTTTTCCTGTTCCTCTGCTCTTCCTTTGGAGAAGCAATAATTCCATGGGGGGATGATACAGTAGCACTTTACAAATGGCTCCATGTCATTCATCCCAGGGGCCAACACATATACTTCTCTTGCACACAATATTCTTTTTTCCTGGTTCAGCTCCTTTACACGCTTTTATCCTAAACTTGGTGGGGCCTCCTTTAACGATGAGCAGAATGGTAAGGAATTGTGG